GGGGGGGGGGGGGGTTATGCATCATTGGAAATTACGAAAACCTATGCTAACCACTTGTGATTAAATTGCTACTCTTATTGAAAATTTAAAACAACACGTTAAATATCAATCGCCAGTTTTACGATTGGATAGCATTCACCGAGAAGTTTGCAATCAACAATAAATAATAAAAAGTTAAATCATCTTGTATCGATAGACAAAACGAAACGTTCGTAGCTAAAAGAATGCAAATACTCCATTTTCTATGTATAAAATTTAAGTGCAACATTTACTTTTTATGCAGCTTTAATCTATTTATATTGCATTCAATCTCATTTAAAATTCATTTGTTTAACTTAATTATATTAAATTGGAAGTCGAAACATTTTTATATCTGTATAAGAAAATTAAACATTGATATTCTCGATATATAATTAAATTTATTGCAAATTAATCGAACTAAATTAATTGAAAAATGCTCAATAAAACAAATAATAATAATAAAACCTTTCGGTTATATAATTCGGTAATGTTGCACGGTTAAATATGTTTAAAAACTCAAAAAAAAAGTATAAAAATTTTGTTTTACTAATCAGATAGAGGGCATACTCACATAGTGCTATCTCTCTTAATTACTTATAATGTATATCAGTTCATACATACAGTGTTGCAGTTCACATTCGTGGTTAACTTATCATATATATATTATGTATTACAAAAATGTTATAATAGAATTTAATTACATCTTTTCTTTGTGCCATGTAAATCCAAAACAAATAAAAAAAATTAAATATACAATAAATTAATTCAGTATTAAGATAACCAGATTTCACTGCTTCAAACATACCAATAAAACTCTAAATCAAGAATAACATACAGTTTTAACGATATATAGGAAATGCATAATAATTGTTTTAAAATTATTATTGAATCGATAAATTAAAATATAATTAGGAAATACAGTCACTACTGTGCATAATACGGCAATTTATCAAACAGTACTCAGTACAAGAAATTTACTTCAAATGATAATGAAATAAGAATGACATTTTCAATTTTATAACAATCTCATTTTAAATATTTATCAAAAGAATATAATCTAGGATACGAAACTTGAAAAATAAAAATATTCAACGAATGAGTGGCTGGATGAATGAAATATATTGTTAAAAGATTTTTAAAACGTTAAATAGTTAAAACAAAGTTATACAGTCAAAATTAAGCATCGGCAAACAAGCTTACAACGAAACAAACAAACTTTATGAATTTTAAAATCTAGTAAGATCGTAAATTACAGTATTCACGACTATTATTAGAATTAGTATACGTGATTCTCTACCGGTTCGAATGCAATGGTGGTTCGCTCAAAGTTTTCAAACTGAACTGTCTTACTTTCGCACCACTATTCGTGTATAACAGTTTATTGTGACGTGAGTCGCAGATGTAATGCAAGATTAACTTCTGGTTTTCCGTGTATTTATTGAAAAAAAAATATAGGAGTGCTTCTAATTCTCGGATATTTTTTTATTTTATCTAGCACATTCTTTTAGTCCATTTTTTTTGTTTTTTTTTTGTTTTTTTTTTGTTTTTTTTTTGTTTTGTTTTTTATTCTATTTCAGCCTACGTATTGAGCTTATATCATTATTAAAATAATGTTAAATAATGTGTTACCTATATATATTAAATGTATTTTATTTGATTAAAATGAAGTACAATTAAAAGGTCGCTTTAATTTCAAATTTCCTATAAAAATTATACACGAGTAAACAATACATTATTGTTTAAATCAATAATATTAAATAGATTATGAAACAGTTTAAACACATTCATAATAACCAGTATTACCAATATTTCACAAAAACATTGATATTTAAAAACTCTTGTTTAATAGTAAGTTTAATAATACTACTTCAATTAAATACTTAATTATTAAGTTAATAAGAGACATTATGATTTTTTTCATATAAAATTATAAATAAAGAAATATATAATTACATAAAGTTGTAAATATACAAAAAATAAGGTCTTTAGGTAAAACCATTTGATATGTTGAATTATTCATAAATTATCTTTAAATAAGATATGGATTATACTTTATTTTGCTTAAATATTGATAATAATAATAATTAATACTATTTAATAATATATAATAATATATAATTAATATATAAAAATATAATAATATATAAAAATATATATATATATATATATATATATATATACATAATCCATAAAAAATAATGTCTTCACTTACCATATTCTCACTTTTATTTACCAAATTATCTCTCTTTTCTTCGATATAGTTGATATTTGTTTCCGTATAATATATATATATATATATATATAATTTTAAATATTAGAAATAAAAGATTAGAACATTTTTTATTATTAAAATAAAATTCTAATATCACTGAACATGTTTTTGCTTAAAAAAATATTTCTTTCTCTATTCAGTAGCCTTATTTTATTAAAAGGCTTACTTTTCATGTATCTTATTAAAATGCAAAGACAAACCGAATTTTTTCTTACGACAAGTTTACATTCCTATGTAGTATGGAGTACAAAATTCAGAAGTCATATTGCTTACACCAGATATAGCGTCCTCATTCTTTACGGAATGCACATTCATCGTGCATGTTTCTGAAACAATAATAGTAAAGATAAGAAAGTATAGAGTATAAAATAAATATAATTACGAAACTTAAAAAACGGTTAAAAAAATTTTAACAGTTTTAAACGGAACGCAATGAAATTATGTGACAAACAGTTTTATAAACTCTAGTCGCAATGAATAAAAAAAGTATATTTTTAATTGATAATTAATAAACTTAATTATTATAAATAGTTGAATAAATAAATGGGCTTCAAATAAGTGTTCAATTAAATTTATTAATTATTTAAACGTATGCATAAGCTACAACAATTGATAATGGTTAATATGATATTTTATTATTTATCTAATAAAGCATAATATTGTATGTAATGTAGAATAAATTTAATTTTCAAATCAACTCAAAATCTATGTTAAAATTATCATATTAGCGGAAATTAAATATTCTGAAGTATTTATATCTTCAAGCCTTGTTTAAGTTACTTTTTAAAAAAAGCATGAAAAATTGTTTATTGCGATATATTGTAATTTATAGCAGCTCCTAATATTTTACAGTCTTATAATTCTCTTAATATTTCATATTTTTATTTCAATTTTATTGCTAAAATAATAATACGAGTATAAATGATAACCATTGTTAATGACGCTATATAATATAATATAATTATTATCGAAATTAGTCCTCGTCAAAGTACTCAATTAATAATTGGAAATCTATATCGTATCAAATGTATATATTGATTACTTGTTATAACAATTTAAAAATAAATTTAATTATATAATAATCTTATTGGCGTTACACGATTTATAATTTAAATTTTATTTAACTGTCAAAATCTTATTTATCTGAAACTTCATATAAAATATAGTTTAAATTATATTATATGCACTTTTGATTTCTGTCATCTTTGAGAAACCTTGGCATCCAATTTATTTGTGGATAAATCAGTAAAAAATTCAGGTATATTGAGACAACGAACAGTCTCCTTTCACTTTAGATATAAATGTAGTATGAGGCGTCCCATACAATGTTTATTAAAGTGAAGGACAATTTCCAATAATTACGCAACCCTATTTGATTTATTTAAAGTATTGATAAAAACAATTCTTCAATATCAATTTTACTATTCGATAAAAATCTATATTAGAATTATTTATCCGAAATATGTATTGGAAAAACAATTTGAAAGGAACCTTTCATGATTATACAATAGTATTGGTCTTATATAAGCTTATATTGTACTTAGTTTAATCTTAAATCCATATAACCTAATTATTTCAATTTACAAAAATATCATTATATATGAAGAAACATCTTGATATATAAATATATTTAAGTAAAAATAGTATATATAATTGTAACATATGTTTACAATTATTTGCTGTAAAATACTATAGAGTAGACTTCAATGTACTAATAAGTACATATACTGTTATTTTTTAAACAAAAACATCCATTATCGAATTTAATAATATAAAATATAAAATGTATGTGTATAGTTAATTTGTAGAAATATATTTAGCAACTTAAAAAATATATTTACATTTAGTAAAAGAAAAAAGCCACCATTCTTAATTAAAAAACCATTCGTTTGATTCATTGAAGATTTTTTTGTATATATTTTTAATATATAAAAATAAATATTATAAATTTTAGTATATATTAACGTTTTACAAAATATGCAATAATATATAGTTTTATTACACACACACACACACACACACACACACACACACATTTTTCTAAATGGTAATATAATAATGGAAAGTCCAATAATATAATATTTTAATTTTTATAATTTAGTAAAATTTTTTAAAAAATAATGAATAAATGAATAATATTA